GCGTACCTTACAAGCTCGTGTACCGCGCAAGATTATATAGGTCTGACGATTAAATCAGACAGTTTTGCGTGCGGGGCCGCGTGGCTGTCGTACAGGCCGGCTCGAGACTTTCTTGAAAACGACGTGTGGGGTGTAATATCATCCGTCGCGCAGAGCGCCCAGGCGTTCCAAATAGACAGATCTTTTGTCATAAAGTCGTGTATAGTGGAAGTACCGCGGGGTACAGGGCGTGTGCAATTAGCGCACGAGTTTGTAAAAAAACACTCTATACTTGCCATAATAAACACCGATAATCTCTGTCTATCTAGATCGCTCGCTGTGGCGATGGTATACGAACGCGGGAACGTACGCTCTGGGGAACTACATGAGAGATGGAACGCTGCACGGCGTCAACAGGGCAAATTTCAAAAACAATTAGCTCTCAAGCTTGTGATAAACGCCTGTGTAGACATACCGCCCGATGGTTGCGGTATTCGGGAAATTGATAAATTTCAAAGACACCTTGCTCCAGATGGTATAGCCATTGTTGTTTACGAGTTCGACAGTATAGGCAGCGGTGAGAAACCGCTGTACGACGGATCGCAGATAGTCGATAGCGCGTACGGTTCAGTGAAACCACGGCAAACTCGGGGAGGTGCGCTCTGGGGAGTTGCAAGACCGATGGAACGCTGTACGGCGTCAACGGGGTAAATTACAAAAACAATTTGCTCTCAAGCTTGTGACAAACGCGTGTGTAGCCATACCGCCGGACGGTTGCGGTATTCCAGAAATTGATAAATTTCAAAGCTATCTAGCCTCGAGGGCTATAGCAATCGTTGTTTACGATTTTGACAGCATAGGTAGCGGCGAGAAACCGCTGTACGACGGTTCGCAAGCAGCTGGTAACGCGTACGGCTCAGGGAAACCACGGCAAACGCTCCGCATCCTGTATTATAATAATTAGCAGCATTATCAGCCTATTTTAAATATGCGGGGTGCGGTCGGTAGTCGGGGTTTTTGCATACCATGTAACAGATCTTACACGCACGAGGTACAGCATAAGTGCTCCAACAAATGCGCTAGATGCTTCGGAAAACCACCTTGCGATTCGGCTCTCCCCACATTGCATTGTCGCGAGTGCCATAGGTACTTTTTTGGTCAAAGTTGTTTCGATAATCGCATAAACACGCTAATTAGTGAACAGAAGGACGGGTGAGCGCCACAACATCGATAACGTGGAGGGCTTGATTAAGTGTGTGATGTTACCATCGCGAGATCTGTATCACCCCGTGTTACCGGTGCGTATGCACGGTAAACTACTCTTTGCATTGTGTCGTTCCTGTGCAGAGGCCACGCTACAGGCGTCGTGTCCTCACGAGAATCCCGCGGACAGGGTATTCGAAGGGCCCTGGGTCGTGGACGAGGTCAAGCGCGCCGTACGTAAGGGGTATGAAATAACGTTGATACACGAAATATGGCAGTATGAGATTACCCAGTACGACCCAACGACACGGACGGGTGGTCACTTTGCTGATTACATAAACACGTTCCTAAAGATTAAGCAGGAAGCTAGCGGCTGGCCGCGCGAGTGTGGCGACGTTGGACATCGGTGTTACGTCAGACCGGTAAAAAAGACTACCGCTGAAAAAAGTATTCTGTACATCTTGTACGATTTTGAAACACAGCAGATACAGAAACTGTCTGGTGGTCTGCGGTCAGTCGCAAAGTTATGTTTGAATTCCTTTTGGGGCAAGTTTGGGCAACGCGAAAATTTGCCAAAGACGGAAATTGTAACGACTCATCAAAAGCTCGTGAGTCTGCTTATGTGTCCGGAGGTCGAGATTACAGGTATTCTGCCCGTAGATGACGAGATGCTCTATGTCAGTACGCGTAATACGAGCGACTCATTGATACCCACAGCATACACAAACGTTGTTATAGCTGCGTATACCACGGCTCAGGCGCGTCTGAAATTGTACGACTACCTCGAGGCATTAGATAAACGCGTTCTATATTACGACACCGACTCATGTATATACGTATCGGTTGGCCGTCACGCCGATAACACCTACGAGCCGCCGCTCGGTAGCCTTTTGGGCGATTTAACAGACGAGCTGGAGTCGTACGGCGCTGGTAGCTATATCACATCTTTTGTCTCGGGAGGCCGGTGTACACGAGTACATCTTCGAAGAGGACCCTGTAAGGCAGTTTGTAGATTTCGCGTGTGATCCTAAAAGAAAATCGTTTCAGCGTGTGATCTGCCTGGCGCATAATGCCAAGGGTTTCGATCGGGAAGTCCGAAATTTTACGCGTACCGAGTGCGCAAGCCAGACGGTTCTTACGCTGAGGTCTGTAAGGTCAAAGGTATCACGATTAACCACGCAACGAGTCTAGTCATTAACTACAACTGGATACGGTCTTATGTAACGGGAGAGACCAGCGAACCTGTCGTTTTACGCTATGACGCGATACGGCGTACTCCGTTTCACGACGTGGTGACACGTGTAGAAGCAAAAACGTGTAAACCGACAGAGCTTCAAAAACGGCGACGCGACGGTCGTTTCGGCTCTTTGCCATACGGTTTCATGTAATTAATATTACAAACAAAACCTGCATAAATGTATATATGACCCCCTGTAAAATAATGATAATAATAATAATAATAATAATAATAATAATAATAATAATAAAACATATTTATTTTATTGCTGGATAGCAAACAACGCAGCGCTTTGTTACAAGCGGCCGACTCACGGTTGACACAACTGTATCTGCGAATGCGCTCTGAATATTCTTCGCGCCAACGTACCTCTCAAACCTACTCAGAAACGTCGCTTACGAAAACACGCACCGCTGCTGAGACGTTTATCCAGACCGGGTTCAGCAGTCAAAACTAGAAAACGCCTTATCGTGCAGAGCGGTGGTTTTCTACCTCTTCTGCTGGCACCCATACTGGGCACCGTCATATCAAAACTCATAGGGGGAGGTGGATAGGGTATATGCCACGCAGAGAAAGAAAGAGAGAGAGAGAGAGCGAGACGGAGCACGCGAAAAAGATGGTTCTCATCCCTCATGAGAGTGTGAATACCGTGCACCA